CGCATTCTTTCACTAATTACAGAAATAATAATATACCTAATGTCATTATTTGTACTTTCAAAAACACCATATTAATAAGATATACTAATATAAAGTATGTCAATAAGTACAACCAAATGTCAGAATGTTTACTCTGATAAAATAAACAGTTTTGTATTGATAACAGGGCGGGATCTGTAGTTAAGGAGATTCCCAACGTATTTTCACAAATCAACTAATAACTCAAGTTCTTTGTTTGTGCCAATCTGAAGACAAAATAAGAACAATAATGTGCAAAAATATATACATTTATTAAAGGAGAACTATGGGGTTAAGACTTTTCCCCATAGTTCTCCTTAGGGTAACGGGAGGACACAAACTAGCGTCCTCCCGTCACCCTAGGCTCAGTATACCGCAAGCTGTAGCTCGCGGTATACTGAGACGCCGCAGCTGAAGCAGATCCCGACAATTGTGCTGGGATCCGCCCAGCTGCGTGACTGACAGCTGGCTCTGCCTATGTAGAGGCAGAGCCAGCTGTACCCACCCCCTCCCCCGTCCGTTCCGCCAGTCAGCGCTGGCGGAGCGGGGAATCCAGCCACTCCCCTGTCACGGCAGAGAGCCGTGACAGGATCTAACGCCGGTATGTGTTTGCTCACCTCCCGTTCTACTGAGCCGACCTGTGACAGTCTCATTGTCACAGGTCAGCTAGAACTATGAGGTGAGTGAAAAGCACTCACCTCATAGTTCTCCTTTAACTAAAAATTAGTGCAAAATATTAATAAAAATATAACTGGTGGATCAAAATTTAAATAATATTGATCAAGAAAAATAATAAAAATAAAACCGCAGGATATTATTTCAAATATCAATGAAACAAAAGTAAGTAACTCCTGGAATGTAATTAGTAGCTTCTCATTAGCTCAGCAGAATGTGACAACATAATGTGCAGATTTGACACGTGATCTCTCTCAGACAACAGATATTCACAAGCTCAAATATCTACTGCGCATGAACTAACTCATAATTCTATGCAGAGGACCGGCTAATTACTAAGAACCTATTTAAGATAAAGAAAAACTTTCTCTAAGTTATTTTATTTTTATGTATATATCACAACTAAACCATCGACTAGAAACTGAAACCAGCTTCAAGGAGATTCTTTATATATTTCTACCAAAATAGAAAAGAAGATAACTTTCTACTGCAGTTAGAAATTTGACTCCAATTCATTTTTTATGCTAACAAGGACCAAATGGTCTAGTTAGATATAAAATATATTGCCAAAAGTATTGGGACGCCGGCCTTTACACGCACATGAACTTTAATGGCATCCCAGTCTTAGTCCGTAGGGTTCAGTATTGGACTCTGTGCAGGCCAGTCTGGTTCCTCCACCCCAAACTCCCCCATCCATGTCTTTATGGACCTTGCTTGTGCACTGGTGCGCAGTCATGTTGGAACAGGAAGGGGCCATCCCCAAACTCTTCCCACAAAATTGGGAGCATGAGATTGTCCAAAATGTCTTGGTATGCTGATGCCTTAAGAGTTCCCTTCACTGGAACTAAGGAGCCAAGCCCAACCCCTGAAAAATATCTCCACACCACAATCCCCCCTCCTCCAAACTTTACACTTGGCACAATGCAGTCAGGCAAGTACCGTTCTCCTGTCAACCGCCAAACCCAGACACGTCCATCCGATTGCCAGACAGAGAAGCGTGATTGGTCACTCCAGAGAACACGTCTCCACTTCTCTAGAGTCCAGTGGCGGCGTGCTTTACACCACGGCATCCCACGCTTTGCATTGCACTTGGTGATGTAAGGCTTGGATGCAGCTGCTCGGCCATGGAAACCCATTCCATGAAGCTCTCTACGCACTGTTGTTGGGCCAATCTGAAGGCCACACAAAGTTTGGAGGTCTGTAGATATTGACTCTGCAGACAGTTGGCGACTTCTGCGCACTGTGCGCTTCAGCATGCGCTGACCCCGCTCTGTCATTTTACGTGGCCTACCACTTCCTGGCTGAGTTGCTGTTGTTCCCAGTTGCTTCCACTTTGTTATAATCCCAGTAACAGGTGACCGCGGAATATTTAGTAGCAAAGAAATTACGCGGAACACCTGAATCCAATGATTTGGAGGGGTGTCCCAATACTTTTGGCAATATAGTGTATATGGCTAGTCAATAGCCTACAGATAAATAGAAATGTATACTTTTCCAAAAATTGCAAAATCTTTTGTCTGAGAGATGCCAGCTTTGTGTCAGTGTGGGGACAAGAGATATTCAGGCCCCTATTTGGTTCAGTTCCCCTGGTCAGTCCATCAATCCGCTTCAGATCTCACCCTCCGGTGTCTATGTACGTCCTCCTGTATATTCTTTCCTTTTTTCAGTCTTTCCATTCTCCCCTCTTAACTTTCTCCTAACTTCTATCAACCAAAACTGTGGGCATGATTTGCTTATCTTTAACCTAATTATGACGTCAGGGCGGTATCACTTTTGTAAAACCCATCCCCGCAATTACCTAAAGGGGCAATATAGGACTAGAAATAATTTTGGACTTTTCCTTAAAATTCCAATATTATTCCTTGAGATGACCTCTGACCTAAGCCTTGAACAAAACCATACATTTAATAGGGTGATCTATTCTATGGCAGAATCTGTCCGACTTACTGTCTCTTTAAGAGATATACAGCTTGAGAAAGTCTGAACAACGGCAATACATTTTCTTCTAAATACCTTGAGAGTGAAGTAATTTTTACTAAGACACAGCGGTTATACATTCTTTCACTGACACAAAATAACACTATACCCAAACATAATTATTTATACTTAAAAAAAAACAACCCACCATATTAATAATATATGCATATATGTTTCAATGAGTAAAACCACACAATAATATAAGGAATATAGGTTGAATATTGTAAGAATATATAAAAAATAAAATAAAATGATTCAATTAAGTACGTATGTAGATGCTTCATGCAATACGTATAATACAATTAAAATTATTACTAATACAATTTCTTTCAAATAATAAGACAGTATATAAGGCAACTTTTATAATGAGCTCTTTTTCCAGTAATGAGAAAAGAGAAAACTAGAGCTGCAGCTAACGATTATTTTCAAAATCGATTAGTTAGCCGATTATTACGTTCGGTTAATCGGATAAACAATAAAATACATTTTAAAAAATGGCTCCAGTGATGGACTACTAGTTTGTATTGAGATTGCACTCCATCACAGGAGCAAGCTTGGAGCGGTGGAAGTAAAAAAGAAAAAAAAAATAGTGTGGTGTGCAATATAGTGAAAAGGAAAGTGTAAAATTATACAGCAATGAATGCAGAATGGCACCGACTATAGAAGACTACAAATCCCAGCAATAGTACATTATACAGCGCAATGCAGAATATACCACCAGCTATAGAGGACTACAACAAATCCCAGCAATTGTACATTATAGCTGGCGGTATTCTGCATTGCGCTGTATAATGTACTGTTGCTGGGTTTTGTACTCCTCTATATTTTAATTCCTTTTAGCCCCAAATAGTTCTGACACAAATAAAGTATATATGTTAAATATTGTATATAACAAAACATATAAAATGATTCAGATAAGTAAATATTTAGATGCTTCATTCAATAAAAAAAAAAACTTTTTTTTATTGAATGAAGCAACTTTTATAGCGAGCTCTTTTTCATATTTAGTTAAGATGAGAAAGGAAAAAAATATATAATGGTGAATGTTTCTATTGTCGTTTGCTAAGCCTGAGACATGGCATCTCCATTAATCTAACAGTATAACACAGTCTGGTGCCATGGTCAGTCCTTATCTCCTCGTAGTTGTCTGGTACCCCCGGTATTTACAGTCCGGGAATGTATACTGTAAGGGTCTGAGAATCGCTGATGTTAGAGTCTTTGTCCAGAAACCATGAACTCACATTTACCTTATATACTGATAGAATAGAAAGAACAAAGATGGCTTCCAGTATGCCCGTGTTACATTCTGTAAAGATGATAGGTTTAGACCTTATGGTTTCTTCCCTTTAGCACTCAATAGTTCTGACAATTTTTACGGTTAGAATACATTGTTTCACTGTAGAAACTGTGGCCATAAGGGCACTTACATACACATGTGGTGGTCGTGCCCTGAAATACAACCCTATTGGGCCGAGGTAATAGCTCAAATAGAGAGGATCACCAAGGCCATATTGCCTTTGGACCCAATGGCCTGTCTTTTCCATTTCATGGACCTCCCGACGAGGGCCTACAAAAGATCACTGGTGGTACCACTACTGAATGCCGCGAAGACTCTGATTCCATTATATTGGAATCAAACTAACACTCCAACTATAAGCGAATGGCATAGTAGAGTAGAATACTACAGACTGAATTAATTAACATCTATCCAGAGAGACAACTATAAAAAATACGAATCCACCTGGCTACCGTGGATTGCCTTTAAAAGATCATCCAGAATTCTATAGGCTATGGGAGAAAACCGTCAATATGAAGAAAAAAATACTATTAGGAAAACAAACAAAGAAGTAGTAGACTTCTACAGTGAGATGGGCATAGGAAATAGTAAAATTTAGTGCCATAGGTAACGTTAAGAACCTTATAAAGAAAATCGGAAGGCTCTCCCCCTTCAAATCCCCCTTTCATACTTCCCCTTCTTCCCTTTCCCTACTTTCTCCCCCTTTTCTTTTCTTTTCTTCTTTCTTTTTCTTTACTTTTTCTTTTTTAGTGCATATTTTCCTTTTATATTTTGGTAACACTTACTGTATGAATCACGTGACGGACAGTACCACTCCGCAGGCCGGCAAAACGACCGGACGGGAGTGAATCCTGCCCGCCTACACTTAATGCTGGAATTCAACTGTTAAAATGTACTTTGATGTAAAACGAATAGATGTTAAAGTTACCTTGTTTATTTTGAAATAATAAAAATTGAATTATAAGAATACATTGTTTCACATAATATTTCATGTTTTTATAAGGATTCAAATATTTGTCTTTCTCTTATAAAGACTTCAGAAAGAAATACAGAGAGTCTGTGGAAAAGATGTTCCAGCGGATTCATGAATATAATTCCCGTAGTGGAGAGGCTGTTAGTCTACAGAAAAGATACACCAAGTTATTAATGAGTAAGGGACACCAGAAGAAAGAGGAGAAACAACAAACAATAAGGAGTAAAACAGAGGACATCTACAGATCATGAAGGAAAGGTCTTCTGATGAATACTCCCCAAACACAATCCAGGACCTCTTTGCCCCCGATGAAGATGGTTTCATCCCTAACATTGTGGTGTTACAAGGACCTGCTGGGATTGGAAAAACAATGACCTCCAAGAAGATCATGCTGGACTGGGCCTCTGGGAATCTCTACCAAGACAACTTTGACTTTGTGTTTTATCTGAGCTGTAGAGAACTCAACACCATCACTGGAAAGATAAACCTGGTGGGACTTTTATCCAAAAGCTGCAGACTGCAGTGTTCAGATGACCTCGTGTCTATTCTGAAGGATCCTGGAAGTCATAGAAAACTTCTCTTTCTAGTTGATGGTTTTGATGAACTGAGGTGGACTCTGGGGGAGGAATCTAAGGTTTGTCATGATGTTTTTGAGGAAACTCACAAAAAAATACTTCTCCAAAGCCTGCTCAGGAAACAGATTGTCCAACAATCTTCTCTGATCATCACCACGAGGTCCCTGGCCATGAAGAAACTGAACACATTGATAGATGATTATCGCTATGTGGAAATCCAGGGATTTACAAGGGAAGATCGGGAGGAATATGTCCATAAATTCTTTGGAAATACAGCAGACGCAGACAAGGCTCTCACTGTATGAATCACGTGACGGACAGTACCACTCCGCAGGCCGGCAAAACGACCGGACGGGAGTGAATCCTGCCCGCCTACACTTAATGCTGGAATTCAACTGTTAAAATGTACTTTGATGTAAAACGAATAGATGTTAAAGTTACCTTGTTTATTTTGAAATAATAAAAATTGAATTATAAGAATACATTGTTTCACATAATATTTCATGTTTTTATAAGGATTCAAATATTTGTCTTTCTCTTATAAAGACTTCAGAAAGAAATACAGAGAGTCTGTGGAAAAGATGTTCCAGCGGATTCATGAATATAATTCCCGTAGTGGAGAGGCTGTTAGTCTACAGAAAAGATACACCAAGTTATTAATGAGTAAGGGACACCAGAAGAAAGAGGAGAAACAACAAACAATAAGGAGTAAAACAGAGGACATCTACAGATCATGAAGGAAAGGTCTTCTGATGAATACTCCCCAAACACAATCCAGGACCTCTTTGCCCCCGATGAAGATGGTTTCATCCCTAACATTGTGGTGTTACAAGGACCTGCTGGGATTGGAAAAACAATGACCTCCAAGAAGATCATGCTGGACTGGGCCTCTGGGAATCTCTACCAAGACAACTTTGACTTTGTGTTTTATCTGAGCTGTAGAGAACTCAACACCATCACTGGAAAGATAAACCTGGTGGGACTTTTATCCAAAAGCTGCAGACTGCAGTGTTCAGATGACCTCGTGTCTATTCTGAAGGATCCTGGAAGTCATAGAAAACTTCTCTTTCTAGTTGATGGTTTTGATGAACTGAGGTGGACTCTGGGGGAGGAATCTAAGGTTTGTCATGATGTTTTTGAGGAAACTCACAAAAAAATACTTCTCCAAAGCCTGCTCAGGAAACAGATTGTCCAACAATCTTCTCTGATCATCACCACGAGGTCCCTGGCCATGAAGAAACTGAACACATTGATAGATGATTATCGCTATGTGGAAATCCAGGGATTTACAAGGGAAGATCGGGAGGAATATGTCCATAAATTCTTTGGAAATACAGCAGACGCAGACAAGGCTCTCCGTATAATAAGAGACAATGATATTCTGTACACCATGTGTGCTGTCCCCATCACATGCTGGATTGTCTGCACTGTAATACAACAAGAAATAAAGAAAGATCTGGGTTTAGTTAGATGTAAAACAATGACCTCCATTTACCTCCTCTACCTGGAGGTTTTATTAACCCATCACAGCAAGAAGGACCTGTCTGTGTATGGGAGACCTCGAGGCATCACCACCTGTCTGATGAAGCTGTGTGCTCTGGCCCATGAGGGAGTTCTGAAGCAGCAAATCTTGTTTAAGGAAAAAGATCTACAAAGACATGGACTTTCTCTGTCTGTGGTGGAGTCTGTGTTTCTGAATGAGAACATCTTTCATTGGGACGTACGCAACCAGACCTACTACAGCTTCATCCACCTGAGTGTGCAGGAGTTCTTGGCTGCTCTGTATTATGGGCTGGATGGTGGTTTTGGATTTATGAAAAGTTTTTTCCGCCCGACGATCTGTAAAGGGAAATCCCTCTCAGCATTGAAGTCAGATTACCAACATTTAGCTTTAGCTGTACAATTCCTGTTCGGTCTCCTGAATGAAAAGATGGTGAAAACATTCTTAGAGGTCACACGGATCAACATCTCACTGCCAACCAGATCTATAATAAAAGAATGGACCATGAAGGACACCAATAGAATAATCAATACTGATGACATTGTCTGTCTGTATGAGACTCAGGATGAGGACTTCATAAGGAGAGTCATGTCTCAGAGTTCAGATTTGATGGTGTTTGGCATAGGGTCTGACAGCAGGGGGAATGTGAGGAATTATTCCAAGCAGCTGGACTATTGCTTGAAGACTTTGAAGAGTAAACGTTTTCAGTCTTTACATTTTGAAAAGCTCAAACTGGATCCCGAGTGTCAGAAATCGTTATCTCTGTTTGTACACAGGAGTCAGAGAGTTGGGTAAGTGAGTGTGATTATTTCTAACTGAATTGCGAACAATCAGCAGAGTCTGATCACCTTCTAGGCTGTAATGGGCAGGAACCTGCATACAGTATAATGGGGGTTATTATCAGACACGTCCTCCATGTACCTCACCTATCTGTAAATAAGTAGAAAGGTGCAGCACATCAATCTAGAATATTCCTACAATGAATGAAACCCTCGTAACTTATCATATAAACATCGACTTGTTCTATGATTCATATATCCCATGGAAGTCTAATACCAATGAAGACAAGTGACAAGTGCTCATCAGTCCTTGTATTCAGTCCACAAAGCAGTGCCGTGCTTGTCTGATCCTCTGGTGAGTTCCTCCAGGTAAGTGATAGAAGATCCAAGTGCTCAATATTCGGCTTCTCTCCAATTGTCTTGTCCGTCAGATAATGTGAGAGGAGAGAAACCTCCAGAGACTGAGAGAGAAGACACCAGACATATAATAAAGACACGGTGGGCTGATTTATACATCTTCCTATGCTTCTCGGCTCCATCTAGTGGTGGTAATGCCGTGCACACAACATTGGTCCAGCTATACCCCGTGTGGAAGATTTATGAATCAGCCCCATAGGGAACACATCATACCCCAATACCATTATAATATGGCAGCCAGGACTCAAGTGGTGAGCAGTAAACTTTCCTATAGATTGGATGTCTGTTATAGGGTGACAACGCTCTGTCCTTGTCTGTCTGTTATAGGAATTGTCCACAGTTGTCACCATCAGGAATCCTGCCCTGAGAAATGTCATGCAGCCATTGGTTGAGTACATGTAGACAGAAAGTGGCTGCAAAGGGGCTAAAGGAGATCAGCAGAAGTGTCATCTAGCAAAGGATGAAAAAAGGTGAAACCAGGATTTTACGGGAAACACATGACAATTGTTATACACAGAGCATGGAGCAAACTCCTATCATCCAGTTTGGGTTCCATCCCCTATAAATTATGATTGTTCCATTTTCCTTCTTCATGTCAGAGGTCATACATTCTCCGTGTCATTGTTATCTCATCATTTCCTCTAGGTTTCGGGATTGTAAGTTTCAGAGTTGGTATGGTCAAGATGAAGAGTCCTCCTCCTCAGGACATGATGAAGAGTCCTCCTCCTCAGGACATGATGAAGAGTCCTCCTCCTCCTCAGGACATGAGATGGTTCCTGATAATCTTTCCTTTCTGAAGAGTAACTTTCCCCTGGAGAGTAAAATTCAGGAATTACGGTAAGAGAAATCTGTGATCCCGGCAGTGATGAGGAAATGTGACGTCTTGTGATTGTTCCGTCTCTCGGTGTTTCCTCGTAGCTCCGGGTGTCTTCCATCCTCTCCGATGTAGAATCTTCCATCACCTCTCCTCTTCTCATGTCTTCTCCTCTCTCTAAGGGAATCTCCCCCTTTATAATCTCCTCCATGGACCTCCATGGGCTTCTCCTAATGACCTCCCTTGGTGGGATTGTAACTCTACAAAAAAAACTCTGATGGATTTGGATCATTTATAATTTATACATTTTATTCTGATGTTTTATATGTTTCTTTACTCTTTATATAACATTCTTCTCTTACAACTAATAATACGGGCGCGCCCATAATCTGGTGGCACCATGGAATTATAAATAGAGAGCAGCAGAAGATGTTTTCCCCTCTCTCTGTAATTGAATCTTAGGACTGAGTTGTCTGAACAGAGTAGATGGGGGAGGGGTCCCTCTGACTAAATCATCTGTGAGTGTAAATTACAGTTTGAGCTACTGAGCTCTGTACACATCATGATTTGTACAGCAAACCAGGGAAGGACAGATAGATAAACATGAGGAGAGACATTTTTATGTTATAGTCCTGACAATAGCAAATATAGAAGATATAAAGGTTGTATCCTATGGACATTGACCCCCTCCGGAGTCTCTTCACTACCCTCTATTATACTATGTAGAGCTGAGCAGCCAGCTTCATGTTATTGTATGTTCTTCCTTTCTGTTTCATTTCTTCATTACAAACTATTTATATATAAAATGTGGTGAGGACCGTCCTCCTTAAATTGTCCTCCTGGAGGTTCTTACCCCACGGGGGGAGGATGTGTCTGTATCTTTTATGACTGTCTATTAATGTACCACGTGTCCTCAGAATTGGATCTCAATGATTTTCATAAAATGTTTTATCTTTAGAGCATTTGCATGTGGCTGTCTGTGTCTTGCAATGTCCATTAGATTTGTAGTTGCCCAACACCCGAAAACCACGGCGGTGGGGGGGCGGACAGGATCGCGATTCTCGCTTCATACAAGTGATCTGATTAGATCACTTGTATGAAAACGAGCGGCGGCTCCCAATGTACATTCAGCTCTGCTTGTCCGGAGCAGGGCTGAATGTATTAAAAAACTACTCGCCCGGCGCCCGAAACTGCCTGTCCCGGGCGTCGGGCGATAGGAATTCCAAACCCCTGGAGCTTTCCTACCCCTGTTCTAGTGTGCAGGGCATTCATTTACAGATCTCACATGTAAAACATGACATTACCCAGCAGTCCCTTCTCCCTGGTCATGTGATTGCTTTATATGTCCAGTACATACTTATACAAATCATTGTTATGACTTTTCAGTAAATGGCAAGAAGTCCTTCTATTCATCCTGAAGTATCATTCTTTGTCTCTATATTTCTCTCTGCAGTTTGGATCGTTGTGATTTAACTTCCTCATCCTGTGATGTTGTCCGATCAATACTTATCACTGATCGATCTCTCACCACACTGTATTTATCACATAATAATCTGCAGGACTCTGGAATAAAACTTCTGTGTGAGGGTCTCCAACATCCAGACTGCACTCTGCATGAGCTGAAGTGAGAATTATACTATAAATGATGTCATAATCTGCAGGACTCTGGAATAAATCTTCTGTGTGAGGTATCGGCCTTTTGGCTAAGATCAAGTGTAGTATCTGTTCTTATCAGTTGCAGGAGGGGAATGGAGCCGCTGTACTGGCCTTTTGGCTGGTACGGTTTGAATCTGAGTACCCTGCCTGGTGACGGGGGTTCCTAAAAGGTCCTGGCTATGGGGAGGAAACCGAATGAGTGTCCACTCACGTATAGAGTGCGGGTCGGGAGTACTCCTCGGGTGCTAGGATCTGGCACTGTTCACTTTAAGCCTGATGAAGGGGACCCTGTGCGGCCCCGAAAGCGATTGATTCTACTTTAAGAGACTTCTGAAAAACTAAAAAAATGAAGATTCACTGAAATTGACGTGTTTGTCATGCTGGTGACATTTCTTTACAAACTTTGCTTGATGCGGCGCCATTACTGAAGTTGGGGGAGGAGGTTCTGTTGCCTCTTTGGACTTCCCTGCCTCCTCCCACTTGGGGGAGCCCCCACCTAGTACTCAGTGGACCTGTTTTGGCAGGTCCCAGAGGAGAGGGGTCCACTGTCCTTTGGGTAGGTGGACCTAAGTCGCCCTTGCCCCTGTCAGAAGTCTTGCGCCCTTAGGGGGTTCAGGAAATAGTGTCCCTTCCTCACCAGAGGAGGACCGATGGAACCCTCGTGCACTTTTTTGTTGTGTGTTGTGATTTCACGATTCACCTTTTTTGTTCACATTTATACCATTTTTTGGGGACACATAGAGCTTTCCTTTGGTGGTATTTAATCACCACTGAGGGGGTTTTATTTTTTACTATATTAAGGAACAATTATTGAATATTTTGGAAAAAAAAAAAGTTAAAATAAAAAAAGTTATTTTTTTCATTATGTTAGAAAACAATGATTATTACCCAGTTTTTTGGTCAAATATAAAAGTCAGGGTCACGTCGGGTAAATAGACACAAAACATGTCAAGCTTAAAAATTGCGCGCACCCGTGAAATCGCAAAAAAACGACCATACCCAAAATTGACCATAGTCGACGCTTTAAAAGCTTTTACCGCTCATCAGTTTGGTGTTATCAGTGATTGATGGCCCTAAAATTATTGCTCTCACTGCGACGTTGACGACGATTTGAAACATGTGCGGCGCAATCGTCGGTTTTGCGCGTATGCGCACCCAACGCCTGGTTTATTCTTTTTTTATGTGTAACTTTAAATGTTTGGGCGGGAAACTTTAATTTTTTTTTTCCGGAGAGGATAACGGAGGGAGAACGTGTACCGACCTCCCTCTGATCCCGTCAGAAAGCCACTATGCTGGTCCCGGGCTCGCACCAGGCACAGCGGACCCTGGGGCCATCGTGCCCGCGGGGGGGGGGGGGGCGCACATACCGGGACCTCATACAAGCGACCTGCCGGCTTTATAGCCGGCGGATCGCTTGTATGTTAACAAGCATCGTTGCCTGGTTTTAAAAAAAATCGGGCATTTCCCACTCGCGCGAGGGGGTGTGGCTGAGCGGACGTAGACGCCCGCTCAGATCTAGAGAGCTCCTGGCCGACCGTTTATTTTTTACAACGGCTGGCCGGGAAGTGGTTAACCAAGCCTTCGTTTCAAGACCGATATTTAGTTGTTTTTGTTCTTTTCCTTCTCCTTATCTTGCCATAATGAAATCACTCAGAAATTCCACGTATATAAAAAAAACATAGAAAATGCACATAGCATAACACATTTTTTAGGTAATTTATTGCGCAAACAAAATAAAAAAAACTTACATAGCCACAGATGTAAGTCGGCACAGTACAAAAAACAGCAGGTTACAATCCATGCATAGATTTTTCTCCTCCTCAGACTAAGAAAATGTTTTGTTTATTTAAATCCTGCGGGCAGGTACATCACAGTGTTAGACAGGTGAGGTGGCGTGCCTGCTCGACGTGTTTCGCCCCAATGACTTTGTCAAGAGTAGTTAACCCTGAGGGGGCCGGTTTATCTAAAATCCCCCTTATTGGCTGTTCTAAGCCTGCTAATCAGACTTCAAAGATCATGCAGAGCATTATGGGCCATATGCATACCTGATGACTGGAACCACCAACCAACCACTGTGACTATGAAGATAAAAAATAAAATGGCCTGCCCCAATCAGATGTGAGGTGAAGGTGTTGAGGATTGGTTAGATGACAAGTCATATCAGCCTTAAGCGTCTCCTCACACGTGTCTGTTCTCATGCAGCAATACTCATGGATCTCTCTGCATGGAAACGCAGGACAAGTAGAAGTCCCATTATTTCCTATGTGGCTGGTTCACATCTATGAGCCGCAGTGTAGTGTGAAAGGCAATCTATATGGGCCCATTCACACCTACAATGTGGACATTACCACGCCCACTGCAATGTACACGGAACAGTGTCACTCCAACCGAAGACTTTTCATGTGGCTGACAACTCCCCTATATTTCACAGAGGAGGGATAACCAATGTTCCATCATCCATCCAAATGTCCCAACATTACATTTTCTGAGACCCCGTACACGGATCATTCATTGGAATGTGTCCCTGGAGGAACTTCTCACCTCTTTCCTGTTTCCCCGTCCAGTGTAACTGACTGTGGAGCGACATTATGGTGCTGTGATGATCTTTGCCCCGTTATCACCACAAACCGAACTCTGACCAAACTGGATATAACATTGGATTATGATAAGAAGATGTCTGACTCAGAAGTTGCTCGTTGTTGTGAGGTCCTCCGATATGACGGATTCACTGTGGTTGACATGTAAGATATATTTTATATTGGTGGTAACACACATACTAAGCCTCAGACTCTGAACACTAAACATACACAACATGGGATGGGGAGGAGATGGTGGGAATTTATTCCTGGTCCCATGTTTTATCATTACAGATGGTGGATGAGGAGAATCGGCTCCACCGCTAATACTCTTAGTCAGGTCCCACAATCTTCCACAAGGTTTCACCTTTAAAGAGAAATGACTTTACTTCCATTACCACCACCACCCCTCCCCCGCTGTCTATCCAATCTGTCAGTATAACTAAACACATCAGATGAGGGTGCTCCTCCTCTACACATCCCAGCCGCCCAGCACACCAGGCATAGTCTGGTATTGACCATGAGTGTGTGGGCCCCTGCCATAGTGGTGACCCCTCAGTATTGGGTGGGTGATTCACAAGTTGGTGGGGGGCCCTATAAATGTGGGACACTTGTCACACCCCTAAAGTGTGAGGACAGAGGGTATGGTTTGGTGTATTTGTATACTGGGGTCAGTTATGAAGAGATCACACACCCCGCCATGGACATACAATCTACCTCAGATCTACTCCCAGCATAGGAGACCACTGACATATATTGTACGGCTGCAGATTTGTACATTACACATCGCACACATTTCCAGGAAGACATCAAAATACTTCCCATTAATGTGTATAAAAATGTCCATAATTTCTTCCGGACTGCAGTACCAGCCCCCCCTTTTCCATCATCCCCGGAACCCCTCCCCCGCTAACACTCTCATTTTATTCTTTGATGAAGCAGTGGATTCTGGAATGTATTTATAGACAGAAGAAGATAATCTGGAGGTTGGGAAGTCGTCTCCTGCTCTTCAGGTAATACACGGATCCCGATATGAAGACAATGTCCAGGATGGAATGATATCACATTGACCTGTTCATGAAACTGATGATTCAGCTTTTTTCCTTTTCTTCAGGTTCAGCGATGAGAGATTCTACTGAACGTCATTACGGAATGATCTGAGCCGTGACTTTCTCCTTCCTCCCATTCCTCCATTTTATATTGTATTGTTACTCCTTCATGTATTCATTACTACAAAATACAAATGTGATTGTTGGATCTTCACCCCAAAACTCCCCCCACTGATGAGACCCGGCACGCTGGTAAATTCCTGTCCATGACATGAAGATTTCTACTACACGAGACACTGACCACCCAGTCATCTCCATCCTTAAAGGAGAACTATGAGGTTAAGGCTTTTCCCCATAGTTCTCCTTAGGGTAACGGGAGGACACAAACTAGCGTCCTCCCGTCACCCTAGGCTCAGTATACCGCGAGCTGTAGCTTGTGGTATACTGAGACGCTGAAGCGGATCCCGACAATTGTGCCGGGATCCGCCCAGCTGCACGAGTGACAGCTGGCTCTGCCTATCTAGAGGCAGAGCCAGCTGTACCCGCCACCTCCCGTTCCGCCAGTCAGCGCTGGCGGATCGGAGCGGGGGGAATCCAGCCCCTCCCCTGTCACTGCAGAGAGCCGTGACAGGATCGAGAGGTGAGCGAACGCCGGTATGTGTTCTCTCACCTCCCGATCTACTGAGCCGACCTGTGACAGTCTCACACCGGACTCTCTTCTTGGACCTAAAGGAGCTCCGCCCACCAGTCTCTATATCCCCAGACATAGGTCTAAGACATTCCAATCACACACATAGACCAATTTTGGAGATAAAAGCCATACAACATAGAATGATGGACGTTGTATATACACACCCCTCCTGTGTACCCCAACATATATACACCCCCTCCTGTGTACCCCAACATATATACACCCCCTCCTGTGTACCCCAATGTATATACACCCCCTCCTGTGTACTCCGATGTATATACACACCCCTCCTGTGTACCCCGATGTATATACACACCCCTACGGTGTACCCCGACATTGTGTTCAGTAATCATCATGACATGAATACTAATAATGGTGGAAATGTCTCTTCCTTGAATGTTGTCTCTATTGAATCATGATATTAAGAACATACAACTGATGGTGTACATAGTGTTGTGTGAGGACCCATGGGGTCTGACAGGGAGAGGCCTACAGGAGGATTATAGTGTATGTGTACCCCATACATGTTTCTGTACCCCTCCCACATACCTTCCAGTCCTTTCATGTTTCTGTACCCTTCCCCCATACCTTCCAGTCCTTAGATGTGTCTGCACCCCTCCCACATACCTTCCAGTCCTTACATGTTTCTGTACCCTCCCCCATACCTTCCAGTCCTTAGATGTGTCTACACCCCTCCCCCCATACCTTCCAGTCCTTAGATGTGTCTGCACCCCTCCCCCCATACCTTCCAGTCCTTAGATGTGTCTGCACCTGTCTGTTTTTTTTTCCTTCAAATAAAGGATTTTTTCGAAAGTCTCAACTATTTTCAATTTTATTTAGCCCTTTAGTGAATGGGTATTAGTATAAGTGCCCCTTACTCATCCACAAGGGGGGGGGGGGCAGCATCTGGGTGCTCCTTTATTAAAGTGGTACCCCAATGTGAATAAGCCCCCAGCCTGCACCCCCACAACCAAAGCCCCAGGGCTTGTGAGGAAGAGGCCCTTGTCCCCATCGGCAGGGAGGTGTGGGGTGTTCCCCCCCCCCCCTTCTCTGCCAAGCCTGTGCTCGCATCAAGGGTCTAGTTAGGAATTGTAGGGGGGAACCCACATATTTTTCGCCCCATTTTTAAAGGTCCTTAATATTCCTACCACATCTTAAGGGTCTGGTATGACTTTTGGGGGGAACCCCACGTTTTTTTTTTCTCTCAAGGGGTCCCTCCTAATATTCCTACCAGACCTAAAGTGCCTGGTATTGTTTGGGAGGGGGAGCTGCACGCTTTAGAAATATCAGCTTTGCTGCAACAGATTCTATACATCGTACAGATCCGCCTCTTTACAGGCAGGTTAAGGGGACCCCCCAGGCACCATATTTAAAGGAATTTTTCATTTTTATTGTTACCCTTTAAGCAATGTTACAATCACTGGTCCTTTAAAAATACCCCCAGGGCAGTACCCGGACCCCATACATGTCCCCCAGGGCCTGTACCCGGATCCCCATACATGTCCCCCAGGGCAGTACCCGGATCCCCAGGATGATTAACCCTCGCTGGTCAGGGCTGCAGCCAGCAAGACACAGGATGACTTCCTCTGATGTACGGCTTTGGACTTTGACGTCAGAGGTTCGATGAGCTCGACAGAACACCGGTATCACAGGTCAGTTATAACGCAGAGTGCGGAGGTCAGTGGTGTAACGCAGGGTGCGGAAGTCAGTGGTGTAATGCAGGGTGTGGAGGTCAGTAATGAGTCAAGCAAAACAAATGTCAAACGCACTCATCAATTTGTTACAAATTGATGCGTTACATTACTGACCTTTTTTGCATGCTGGCTGGTGAGTAATGTAACGCACAGTGGAGGTCAGTAATGTAACGCATAGTGGAGGTCAGTAATGTAACGCAGAGTGGAGGTCAGTAATGTAACGCAGAGTGGAGGTCAGTAATGTAACGCAGGAGGCGGAGGGCAGGGGTTTAACGCAGGGTGCATAGGTCAGGGGTGTAACGCAGGAGGCGGAGGTCAGGGGTGTGACACAGTGTAGAGGTCAGTGTTGAAACGCAGTGTGGAGGTCAGTAATGTGACGCAGTGTGGATGGTCAGTGGTGTAACGCAGTGTGGAGGTCAGCAATATGACGCAGTGTGGAAGTCAGTGGTCTAACGCAGTGTGGGGGTCAGAGGTGTAAGATAGGAGGACTTACAGTCGTGATGTGCTGCTGTCCTCTTCTTCCTCTCCGGGTGGTGGGGGAAGGGAGGAGGGGTGATGGTGGTGGGGGGAGCATCGATGTCTCCTCCATGTGAAGCCCCCAGCAGCCTTGATGTGTCTTCTCTTTTTTCCTGCCACTCCCCTCCATGTTCTTATATCTGCTACATTGTGACAGGTTCTCTTTTTTCCTGCCGTCCACCTCCATGTACTTATATCTGCTACATTGTGAGAGGTTCTCGTTTTATTGCCACCCACCTCCATGTTCTTATATCAACTACATTGTGACAGGTTCTCTTTTTATTGCCACCCACCTCCATGTTCTTATATCTGCTACATAGTGACAGGTTCTCTTTATTGCCACCCACCTCCATGTTCTTATATCTGCTACATAGTGACAGGTTCTCTTTTTTGCCACCCTCCTCCATGTTCTTATATCTGCTACATTGTGACAGGTTATTTTTATTGCCACCCACCTCCATGTTCTTATATCTGCTACATTGTGACAGGTTCTCTTTTTTCCTGCCACCTCCATTGTCTTATATCTGCTACATTGTGACAGGTTCTTTTTTGCTGTCACTCACCTCCATGGTCTTATATCTGCTACATTGTGACAGGTTCTCTTTTTTATTGCCACCCTCCTCCATGTTCTTATATCCGCTACATTGCGACAGGTTCTCTTTTTTGCTGTCACTCACCTCCATGGTCTTATATCTGCTACATTGTGACAGGTTCTCTTTTGTATTGCCACCCACCTCCATGTTCTTATATCCGCTACATTGTGACAGGTTCTCTTTTTTATTGCCACCCTCCTCCATCTGCAGATTTTCTATGGTCAGATGCAGCAGATTCGTCCATCTACTCTAAGCTGTGTGGATGGCGGAATCTCCCGCTGGGCCAAGCTTCGGTATCTTGCTACCCGGCCCCGCTGGCTGTCAAAATACCTGAACATTTCCTGCATCCAATCAGATTGTTCGGGTACTTTGACAGCCAGCGGGGTCGGGTAGCAAGATACTGAAGCTTGGCCCAGCAGACACAGCTTAGAGTAGATGGAGGAATCTGTTGCATCTGACCATAGAACGTCTGCAGATAATCTCTAGGTGTATGGCCGGCTTAAGTCTCCTTCTGATGGCCGTAGTTCCACTCCGAGGCTACTACAGGACACATTTGTACCTGCTTGCCTCTTGTATTCCCATCAGGGCGTACTTTGTTTTTCTCAAGAGGCCTCTCCATCTCAACCTGATTTCAAGACCCCATGAGGAGGAGATGACTTTGAGGCTGTCCCCATGACTTTGAGGATGTCCTGATCCTGTAGACCCTAGGGTTCAAAGATGGCGTACCTTCGTCTTCACATCCTTCTACTCTCTTGGCCAATCTCACGCTCCCATTCCATTTCTCGAACACTCTTTTATCTCTCTGTCTGTGTCTCTCTTCCCCTCCATAGAGTAGATGGAGGAATCTGTGGCACTTTCTCCATGTGACCATAGAACGTCTGCACATCATCTCTAGGTGTATGGCCGGCTTTACAGTTTGATAGCTTGCCTATGCATATTGCCTCTAAACAATGCAGATCCCCCTCATATGAAACACTTGTAAGACTGAGGCCCACGGTACTGGCCTATTTGGGAAGGAAGAAGTGCTTACACCAGGGAAGGGGTGAGTGTCACATTAGTGTTTCTGCTTTCAGAACAAACAGGAAATCTCATTTGTAATGTCACCTCTACTCCGCTTACAGAGGACCCTGCAGTAAAACAGGCAGGTCCAATCATTAGGACGCCCTCCACCTTGCTACAAAGCTGCACCATACCGCACCAAAACAAATGCTGGGGTGAAAACTTCCCTGTCTCCCCATTCCCCCTGCAGTGCTTAGGTGACATCATCAGCTTCCAGGCAAGACTAAGCAGTCCAAGTCTGGCCATAACGTGATCCTGTACTGTGCTGGAGCATCATCTCACCAGATTTGGGCCCCTTGGCATTACCCGAGACCTCAGGATAGTGTCACCCCCTGCAATACGGAAGCCAAGGAAAAGGTCAATAGATTTCACTTCTTTTCCTTGTTTAGTGCCGTGTATAACCAAGGGGAGAGGGGCCCACACTATAAAAGTGGACCTTGATTGGGGTGTTTATAAGAAAAGCTGCGCTGAGGGTAATACGTACTCTGCCATCACAGATCTCTTTCTGAAAAAACTCATTGCCTTGCTATCATGCCC